ATGTTCTGCTTAGAGTTACTTCAAAGAAGTATTTGTTAATCAAATATTGTTTTTAAAGTAAACTGAATAATTAGGAATACATTTATTTAAGCAACTTATTTAATTGCATACTTGGTTTCTACTCCCCGCCAAGTAAATTTAAGTGCCTAAATCTATACTAAATAATGTAAACTGAGATACTATAGTATATTATATACATTTATGTAAATATGGCAATTATGCTAAGAATTAAAATGGCGTGTAATTGTGAGGGTAAAGTAATTATGGTAGGATCAAATGGTATTGCTAAATCCCAAAAACCTAACACACTGTAGAAAACCAAACAATTCAATTGTGATTGACTCACTTGATATATCAATATTAAGAAAATTAAATATTTATAAGAACCTATTTTTTGGTTGCAAATACACCACAATCCTCCAAACACACTGCGAACCCCATCCAAACCCTTTAATTACGATTGTAGAACTCTCTTTTTCTAAAAAAAAAAATAATAATTTGATGTTCATATAAACTCATTGTTTGTTGGGTTTACGGATACCCAGATTGAATTTCTGGAAAATTGTGATTCCGCTTCCTTGAAATTGGCCACAAATAAATTATTTTAGTATTATTAAATGCATGATTTATGTTGATTTATAGATTATGTTGTTGCTATTTTTTAACATTTAAATGGAAAAAAAATAAAGTGTTATTCATGGCTTTTATTTATCATTGAATATTTTATCATTGAATATGTAATTTCTGCAAAAAGTAAAATGTAAATGGCAATTTATTATTATTTTATTAGATTCCTTTTAAAAACTAAATTATGTCCGTTTTAAAAAATGCATATAATGATTTTTAAAAAATCAGTTTTAATACAGAATTTTATTATTGGGGCCATTTTTACCTACCTGTCATTTGGGCCCATTTTTACCGGGGCCATTTTTTCCTGGGCTACTTTCCCCGGGGCCATTCTTACCGTACACCGGTCAGTTACCTAATTAGTTTGATTCTTTGTACGCCACCTATACTGCCGAGAAAAGCCGATTGGCTTGTTCGGTAAACTAGGCTACCATAAGATTATTTACTGCTATGGTTTCCATTCCATGTTTGCTTTTTGGTTGTGTGTTGTACAAATGGGGCATGCTTTGGCCTTTCAATCCAGTGGAAGGCTGCTACAGACCTGATTAACAGCGAACGTAACCATGGGGACGTAAACTTTTTGTTGCACTACAGGCTGTTTCATGAGGTACTTCTAGCACCTGATGATTGCCATGATTACATACGATAAAACTGAAACTATCTGCCCTTAAATGTGTTTGTCATCTCAAATTAACACGAGCACTCCCTCGTTAGTTGCCATGTCTACATCATCGAAAATACAGTAGTGCAATATTTTACGAATGCCCGCATAGGAACCTTGGCCCTCACAGAGGTCTGGTTTACGATTGTTATTGTTTTGAAATTAGTGTAAATTTTAGCATTTTTAGGTACAATTATTATGTAGTGTTGTATATTTATAACCAATGTTTTTTCTTTTTTATTTTCTTGCAGTTCCCAGAAGTAAAAGTGATGTATACAGCTACAGTATCTATAGGCCTAGTAGTATTAATTATCAAATTTCTGAATGTTTCTAATAACATTTAATATGTTTATTCATTTTTTCAGATTTATTAAATGTCAAATATGTAACCAATTTATATCTTAATTTTAAAATAGAGCCTATAGCTTTGAACATAGGCCTACTGCATAATTTGATAAGATTTTTGGTGTTTATTGCGATCGTGTTACATTTAATAATGCATCATCATCATCTTCATCATCACCACTATCATTATGTAACCAACAACATATACAAAAATACACAATTAATTTCATATGGAAATTAAATTTATTGCTGTAATTAACTGCATATGAAATACAACAAAGTTACTTTCTATTTACATATATATCATCATCATCTTTTTGTTATTCAAGTTAATTACATAATTGTTTCAAGATTTTTTTTTATCATTATCATCATTATCTTATCTGTATTACTGTATTGAATTATTATCAACCTCTAATCCATATCGCGGATATTAGGCGAAATTACTCTTGATCCGGCGTTCAAGAGCGACCTAGCTGAGCGTTCCCCAGAGCGGTATTGCTCCCATAAGAATGCAATAATGTAACTTGCTTGTATCTTTTATTTTCTCTCTTGTAGTAAATTAAAAACATTTATTCATAAATTTCATTTTTATTTAAAATTACTCCTCGGCAGTTGCCTTGTTTCGCTAATCAAGGCATACAAAATCTCTTCTAAATATATATAAACCATACCTTAAACATATTTTTTAAATTTATTTATTTATTTCTACAAAACACCTGAGGGAGAAGCAATATGTACAGAAAAGCGCATTAAAAACCATCAAAGACAACACAATTAAAATGGTGGTAATAAATTATAAATACTATCAAAATCATTAATACATAAAAGATATTTGACAGTGTCACATAATATACCTTGATTTAAACAATTATTTTTAAAATACAACTTAAAATAAAAAAAAAGATTTAATGAAATAACGATCAGTACAAGAAAATTCATTAATAACACGAGAAACAAGAGTACCCTTAATCGAAGATAGTCCATTATTAAACTAGATCATAACACTGGAAGCTGAGTTATTACTAAAGATTGGCGATATATATAAGGTCGAACTGAAAGCATTTTATTAGGTAGGACCTAAATTATTATATTATAATAATATTATTTATACCTTCGGCGCTCCATACACCGCGACCGAAATGCATAACCAAAATAGCGCGACCGAAATGATCAGATACCCTATTCAACCGGTAGCCGATCATTTCAGTCGCGCTTCATTTCGGTCGAGCCTCATTTCGGTCGAGGTTTATTTCAAACAAATATATGGAGCACCGAAGGAGTTGCGAAAATGCAAAATTTAATATACCTAGGCCCTATACATTACTATAATTAATTCGTCAATCGGTTTATCATAGGCCTAAGTATTTTTTTAATTCCCGTTTTGCTATCTTCCTAACAACAACATTTTATCTTTCTACTAACATATTCTTTTTCTTCCATTTACAGTGATATATTCATGATTGAAACATGATCTTATGATTGAAACAATGGAATTTAGTATGTGCTTCATGCTATTCTTTTTGTTGCGTTTTCATATAGGGCCTACTTTATTTTAATAATTTGGTCAATAAAATGTATCTTTAATTTTAATTGAATTGAATGTTGTTACCATCTGAAATCTATTTCATAATTTAGTTAAAACAATAATCATTACAATATTTAATCCGATCTTTGTATACAATATTTTTTTTTTTTAAACATACCGTACCAAGAGAATTGAGGGAAACACAATTAAAAAAATAAACGAATAATACACACATTATAATTCTTCACTTGAAATCTTTAATTTTCTTTGATGCCCCTGCGCAGTTCATAAATATGAATATATATATTTATATATGATTTTATATAAGCATATAGGATATACATAAAAAAAAAAAAAAAAAATATATATATATATATATATAGGCCTATATACACATACATATATATATTTATACATATATTATATTATATATATATATATTATATATATATTTATTTACATGATTTTTATAAATATCATATCAAAAAACAATACCGTACTAAGAGAAATACCAAATTTTTAGTACTGTATTCATTTTATTTGCTGTATTCGTAGTAGGAAGCGTAGGATCGATAACAAAACGAAAATAAAAACCGTCCGATAAAAGAGTAAAGGTACTAGGAATGAAGCAAACTAGAAAATAACCTATAAATACCATAATATTAATTAAAATTTAGTTTAGTAATAATAGTATTCATTTTATTTGCTTTTAAGTAGCCAATGCTGTTGAAAGACAACAAAACATAAATTTAAAAAAATATGATAAACCGATTGACAAACTTACAATGATAATACTTACAATGATAATTAGACCTAGTTATATTAAATTTGGCGTTTTCGCAACTCCATTGGCGCTCCATATATTTGTTGAAACGTAGGCCCTGACAAACAATCTAGGCCTAGTGACTACTTTTTTTTCATAGGTAATCAAAATACGTTACAGTATTTGGATAGGCAAATTATTATTATTATTTATTTTTTATTTTTTTGATCCGACGACCGACAGAAGGCATAGGCTAGGCTGTTAGTAGTACTAGTAGTAGGCTAGGTCAAGCCTAGGCTACTAACCTAGGCCTATCTTTGCCCAGCCCAGAACTTAAAAGAAAGTAGGCCTAGTAGCCTAGGCTAGGCTACTAGGCCCCTAGGCCCTAGTTAGTTCTATTCTTACCCGGAGACGAATCAATTGACCGTTTAATTTACGCTCAATTTTTTCCATCATCTTTTCCTCTTCCTTTAACTCGGGTAGCTCTGTAAGCATTTTGACTTGGCCAGCTCTGGGGGCTGGGGAAAAGTAAAAGCACAGAAGCAGCGCGGCTGAAAAACATACAAAATTAAAACGCAACACTCGGATTATGGAACGCCAAAAGGCCAAATCACAAGAGGGATAGACTAGTGCTAACACAATGGATGTGCACTTTATTACCAAAGCATGAAACTAGGCACAAAATATATTTAATATAATGTAAATTATTATATTTACCCAAATTTTTTGCCAACCGTGGTGGGGCTGTGAGATGGGTGTGGGACTCACGCCGCTTTTTGTAGGTAAAGTAAAACATCAAACAATTGTTTTAAAGTTTTATTTTCACACATCACACAGATTTTTTAGATCTCTAGAATTGCCGAAAATCGCTGATAAATGATCATAAGAATTTTGGCTAAACATGGTGATGTGATGATGATGAATTTCTTTATAGTGTCATTTCCGGCCATCTAGAGATACAATTTACCAACATTTTCGCGCCTGAGGTGGGTGTGGTCTCACGTAATACCCCCCACCCCCCACAACCTTTCAAAACAGAATTAGCTTAAATTCGAGTGCGATGATATTCGTTTGCTATGACATATTTTGCCCAACTCAGGTTGGATATACATATACATTCAACATTTGTTTTTAATTTGACAGAACGACCCCAAATTACGCTCGCTCACGACCCCAGCCTTCTACTTGTCACAATTCTATGTACAGTACTGTATAAAGTTCTGAATCCGCCCCTGGAACCCCACCTGTGCGAGTCAGGATAAACTCGAAACTGACGGGTCCTTAGGACACAACTGGAGTAACTTTCCTACCTTAGAATGCATAGTTCGATTAGGGTTGGGGTGTGCGGGTCATTAGGAGTGACGCCCCTACCCCTTTGGATAGTTTGGTAAGGTTTCTTTGGTTTTGTCGAAAGAACTTTACATGTACCAATGAATTTCCTTTTGGACTATAAAATATATCCACAAGCTGTTGCTATTTCTGGCTCGCCTTCTTCAAATCATTTACCTTATTTTACATTGTACTGTTTTTTCTCAATTCGAGGAAAAAAAATGTTACTTTGATTGATTGATTGATATTGTATCGTATATCGTATTCGTATATCTGGCTATGTACTAAAACAAAAATGTATTGCCTTAGTATCAACCAAGCCAGTAACACCTCCCAACTTGTCAGCTATGAAACTATTATAATATCAATTCATCATCATTCACTTGCGGCGCCAACGGGTGAGGAGTTGAAATTTTCCCCCGGACAGATCTGGACCCCCGCCGACTGGTGGCACAGCGAAGTCGTCGGTCCAAAAATATCAATTTGCCTATTCAAATGACGTTATTTTAATTGATAATCCTAACAATGTGTTATAAAAAGGACAATTTGGGCCATACTAATTCCACAAAATCTCATAACCCTTAGGCCTATCAGGGATTGTTATTACGGGACCCTGACCGACGCTCAGTCGGTCCCCTCGGTTCGGACCCTGTCGGACTTTAGCCTCTTGTCCTCATAATCTCTGGATCCACCACTTTTATCACCTCATCATCGTCAGACATCATTATCATAAGGAGGTAGAGAGAGTTGAAGAATAACAGGGGCGGATCCAGAAATATTCTGAGGAGGGGGCCCAATAGGTAGAACACACCCACCTCAGGCTCACCATGGTTGGGTCTGAGGTAAGCAAATTTTAAGAATATTCATCCCTCTAGACGCTCGGAAATGGCACTCTCAGAAATTTAAAAAAATGCTTTTTCAAAGCAGTGTTCCTTCGCCACAAAATTATTGACTTCTTACCACCGACGGGTGCTCCCCTACCTTAGGCTCCCCTTCTCTCACGGGCGTCGCAAAGGTATAATTAAGGACATATAGTCTATTCTGGGAGTTGCAAAGCATTATGATTATGACACGGAAGCACTCATTTTGAATATGTTATCTCCATTTGTTTTTAAATTTTGACAAAATGTAAGGGGTCCTGGGCGGTTGGGCACCCTATCCCCACTAGATTAATATATGATATATGTCCTACAGTCGATGTAAGAGACACTTTATGCTGTTATGTATAAACAAAGCCCTTTAAGATCAGGGTGCTATAGAGCGAAGTTCATGGGTAGAGGCACCACAGGGGCCCCTAATTGTCGGCCGCCGCACGAGAGCACATCGCGTTACGCTACTGAGCATGGATAACTGTTCTAGCTGGGTACTAAATTCCGTAATAACTAAAAGACCCGTCTTAAGTTTCCGCCTTTTTTACACCCTGGTTTATAAAATCGTTGAGGAAAATCGGCATCGAGGATATAGCGTAAAGTTGTGCTCGTCGTCAGTCAATAGAACATTCAAAATTAGTAAGTAGTAAAATAACTGAGCTCACCTTTCGCCCACTGTTGGTCCACCATTGAACTCATGGGTACGCTTCCTTTTCTTCCTCTTTCCTCCCTTTAACTCTTCTCAATTATTTTCTCCTTTTCAATTTTTCGCCGGGACTGACAGTGGGAACGGCCTCCCGTGAACCCCCGCTGGATCCCCGCTGGATCCGCCCCTGAATAGCAGCGTCATTTTGTAAGCTGAATGTATGTGATCCATAAAGCCTTGAGAGAGGTGCTTGTATTAGTTTAATCATGTGTCATACTAATATAGGGCCTAATTCTTGTACCGTAAATCTAAATGTCGGAAATGCCCTGTCCGTATAGCATATAATTCTTCTTATTTTTCTTCTTTTTTTTTTTTTCTAATTTTACGGTAAGATATATTTTTTTCACAAATTGCTTCACAGCATTACGACTGAATTTACAATGGTATGGTAAAATAATGGAAGCAATTAAAAAAAACTTAAGAATTAACTATTACAGCTGACATATAAAAGTGTCAATAATAATGTAATATACAAAGATGCAAAATGTTCTGTTTTTAAGTTATGATAACGATAACAATTGAAAATAGTTTTGGAAATGGTTTAAAAATAGGACATACCACTAATTTTTATACGATGTCAAATGTTCACACCTTGTAATTAAAAATTAAACTGAGGTCATTTTTATTTTTGGGGGTAAAGGCTGTCTTTCAATAGGCGAGTTTATTCGCGCGAATTTTGGCTTATACACGCGAGGTATAAATTTCCACTACAAATTTCCTTACTTGCGCATGCTTATAAGAACAAAATTGGCGATTCACGCGAATAAATTTGCCTCTGAAAACAACAAGGGTTCATAATTGGCACTACTAACAACAGGGTTCATAATTGCTCCCACTAACAAGACCAGTCGCATAAATGGCGTGGTTGGTTAGACCCCCGTTCCGCAACATTTTAGCCCACGACCCAAATTATATATCAAGCACTCAGACGCGACCCATCAAACCGGAAGTCAAATTTCTCATCTGAATTTCATGGGGAAATCATGGACCTATGATTATAGGTCCATGGGGAAATGATTGAATACGGTATTATTATTTCTTTAGTTTGAGTGAATTAAGTCAATATATATGTCTGTCGTTTTATACGCGCGAGGGGTATTAGAAGAGCTCACTTGATTCTTTTGGCAATCGATTAAAAGATAGGCCTACTCCAAAGATCACCCGCGCAATCAATTAAAAACCCATAAAAATGAATTATAACTTTGAATTACTCATTTAACAAAGCGTAAGTTATCAATGTTCCAATAAAATTTTTAAAAATGAATTATTTACAGACATTTTACTATAGGCCTAAACAAATTCATAGATTTGCTGCCAGAAATAGGCCTATGGGTTAGGCCTATGCGAAGACATTGACACATTAAATTTAAGAGAAAAATGTTTTGTTCTTTTAATTTTCAGCTGAAAGCCAAACACACCGAAAGGAACAAAAGTAACACTTTCAAGTTGTCATACCTGAAGTAGGCTACAAATGTTTTGATAGAGACAAGTTACGACTCAAGTTCCCAAGCCTTGCAGGATCTTAAATGGGTAAACCTTGAAACAAACCTCTTCTACAATGAGGCTATTATTATGTTTAAA